AGCTGCTGAGGAGGCACACCTGCATTGACCTAGGAGAGTTGCGCCGCTACCTTGGCCTGCAGATCTCCAGGGACAGAGCAGCGCGCACCATCACTCTCACACAGTCACACTTGGTGCGCTGGTTCCTTCTGAGGTTCGGTCTTCAGTTCTCCTCTGCACAGCCAAATCAGACTTGAAATTTTTTTAACTCTCACAGTCAGGGTTTTTTTTTTTCCTACTCTGATTTCAAAGAGTGGCCTAAAACCAATTTTGGGCCCTGCTCATGGGTCTTATCACATACCGTTTGAAAATAGTGAAAAGGGTCTTATAAATGGGAAAAAAATAGGTGGAAGTGGGTCTTATAAACTGAACCATCGTAACTTTACAGGAAAACACCAGGAGTAGTTACACAAGACTTTTGGCAAGCATTTTCATAGGGAGGGCGTCACAAAGGGGACAGCTTTTTTTTCGGCAATAATGACGGCAGACACGAGTGAAGCAGCAAGGGAGGAACGAGGGTGTGGAGTGCGACCATCCCAGCCGTCTATCGAGCTGTGATTTCAGTACCATGGAGACATTCGAGGTGTTAAATTATATATTGTGTTATATAATTTTTAGGCTTGGTAGGTTATCGAACTACACTGTAGAGGGTAAAATCCCCTCCTTGTATCCCTTTCTCTTTCTAGTTCCCTCCCTTTTCTCTCGTCAAACTTTCCCTCCTAGCTCTCGACCTCCAAAACCCCTCGCCATTTCATGGCGTCCTAGTTCCTAGTTTAACATGGTAACAGGGCGGGTTCCCCCTCCCGGGCCTGCTCCCCACGCTTCCGCCGCGTACTCCTTCTTTCACTCACGTGCTGCCATGGCGATCGCGTCGAGCTGCTGTGACGGCGTCGTCGTGCCGCGGCCGTCTCGACGCGCTGCCATTGCGTCGCGGCGTCGACGCCGCTCTGTGACGGCGTCATCGCCGCGCGACGCCTGTGGCGCCGCTAGATCTGCCGTCCCACCAGTAAGCGTCGCGCCATCCATGGCGCGTCGCTGAAGACTCGCCTGCCATCCCACCAGTAAGCGTCGCGCCATCCATGGCGCGTCGCTGAAGACCCGCCCTCCCCCCATTTTCCCCTCCTCTGCCTTGCCATCTCCTCATCGCCACAGCTATCGCTTGAATTGCGGGGGTCTTCACCGTCGTTGAGACTGGACACACCGCCGAGAGGGCGGGGGCCGCTGCCGTCGCCGCTGTTGTCGAAGCCGCTGCCGTCGCCGCTGCTGTCGCCGCTGGCCGTTGCCGCCGCACGCCACCGTCGCCACCGCTGTCGTCACTGCTGCGCCTGCCGCCGTAGCCATCTCACGGGCCGTGGGATTGGCCCCACTGGAGTAGTCGTGGCTGCTGCTTGAGAATGGGGGTGCTAGGTTAGGGGGTGTGGGTGTGTGTGGGCTTGCCACTACCAAGCCTAGGGGGTGTGTTAAATTATATATTGTGTTATATAATTGTTAGGCTTGGTAGGTTACCGAACTATACTGTAGAGGGTACAATCCCCTCCTTGTATCCCTCTCTCTTTCTAGTTCCCTCCCTTATCTCTCGTAAAACTTTCCCTCCTAGCTCTCGACCTCCAAAACCCCTCGCCATTTCATGGCGTCCTAGTTCCTAATTTAACACGAGGAACCTGTCAGAAACAATTGTCACGAACCAGAAACACCTGTCATGTGTCGCGTCAGAAACACATGTTTCCAGCCCAGCAGATCGCCAACTGGACATTCGGCGCGATAAATCTTCGTTGAAATTTCTCCCAATACATAAAACAACATTAGAAATTACAATACCTATGATTCAAAAGAAAAAACCGAATTGGCATAAAAAACGATATAAACGTTAATGGGATGGGGGAATATAAATTATTTGAATAAACGACCCCCCACCTCCCCCCCCCCCCCCAATTTCAGACCAGTCCCCTAAACGCCCATATGGGCGCTTATCCAGGGGAATATGGTAAACAAGAAGAAAATACAGGAGGGGGGGGGGGTCTTATTCTCAAACTGAAAGAATGAACTAGAATGTGAGAGTACAAGGCAATATAGGCTAGTGTGTTGTACCCTCTAAGGCACAAACCTATAAAGTCTACAATAACATACTAAGTTATGTTTGACACACCCCATAGATTATATAGGGGCAGTGCCTAACAAGAGAATAAGCAGCTCAGGGCGGCACTACTAGTCCAGCCTCTGAGGCAAGGGTATAAAGACTAGTCAAAAGGAGTACAGACAAAACAAGAGCAAGACCAGGGCGGCACTACAAGTCCAGCCACTGGGAGAGGCCACAAGGCCAGTCAAGGTAAGATATATATATAAAGGTCAGTACACAATCAAGGTCCTAGCAAATGAGAGGCTACAGGAACAAGACCAAGTTGTATACACTGCCCCTTATGATCTTTAGGCGCAAGCGCCTTTGTAAAGATATCAGCTGTGTTGGCACCGGAGGCCAAGTGTACTACGCGGGCCTGGCGGCGCTGCTGCAGCTCGCGCAGGAGGAGGTACCGCAGCTGGATGTGCCGGTGGATCTCCAAGATGCAATCTCCTGCTCCGTGGCAGCTATCCACTGAGCGGCCAAGGGTCCCGAGGTGGCCTCAGCGTAGGTGCGAGGGGTCGGGATGTCGAAGGCGTCTGGGTCACCCTTAGGGACTAGCAGCATAGAGCAGAGATGGGGAGCAGCCTCGGACAGGAAAGCAAGCTCGTACTGCCGGTCCTCCAAGACGTCACTGCTGAGGGCAGGAGCACCCCCGACAGACGGGGGACAGGCAGGGTCAGAGACCAGAGTGGTGGCGTAGTCAAGGCGGCGGGTAGAGGCGAAGTCAGCAACAGCAGCCACAAGAGCGTCAAGATGCGAAACAGGAACAGACGGGTCAGTAACGAGGGAGGCAAGGACCCGAGGAACAAGAGGACGAGCGGCGCGAAGGTAGTCAAACAGAGGGGGAGGCGCGACGACAAGGGAGGACGGAGGAGGCGACGGCAGGATTGGAGGACGGGACACGTGGGAACGAAGCAACATAGAGTGAGAACGAGGAACAGGAGAGACAGGACGAGCCCGAGAGAAACGGCGAGACCAGACGTGGGACGGAGGCGTCGGGTCAGGAGACAGAGGAGCAGTAACAAGAGGAGAACGAGGGGGAAGGCGAGCTGGAGACGAGTCCGGAGGAGGGAATACAGGGCCGAAAACAGGAAGAGGAGGAGATGGTAGAAGAGGGGAGACGCGCGGTTAGGGGAGGGAAGGCCGAGCAGGCGAAGGGCGGACACCAGGGGCGACTGCTGCTGCGGCGGCGGCTGCACGACGCCGACACCTGGACCGCCAGCTGCTCCACGGCTACCTCCGGAACACTCCACTCCGACACCCCCAGACGAAACACCCCCAGAACCAGAAGCTCGCTTCGCACCAGGACGACCCCCAGGCCCGCTGGGATAAGCCACGACAGGAGCCCCAGGACTAGCACCCTCCTCAACGCGAGCACCCCCAGAAGGAACGAACTGCAGCGGTAGCGGCGGTGACGACGACTGCGGCGGCGCTGCGGCTGCGACGGAGGACCACCAGAGTCAGTAGACTCCTTAACCGGGACAACCGACGTGAGGGGGGTAACGTGAGACACACCAGACGGGGTAGGGCGGGGAGGAGGGGGGGCAAAGGCAACCGGGGGAGGAGGGACCAGTCGCTAGGAACTACGGCGGAAGCGCTGGTGGGCGGAGGGGACCTAACCTACTCATGATACCATCTCAAACTGAAAGAATGAACTAGAATGTGAGTACAAAGCAATATAGGCTAGGGTGTTGTACCCTGTAAGACACAAACCTAAATAGTCTACAATAACATACTAAGTTATGTTTGACACTTGTCTCATACCGCCCAGGGGGTGCCTTATAAACGGGAAGCCCAAGTAGAAGATATACACCTCGTATAAGACCCTGGGTCTTCTATTACTAGGGGGTTTTCTATCCGGGCTGTTACGGTAGTAAATTTTATGAGCTGTGTGCTTCTCCCTCAGCACTACCCCTTATCTAGCCTAGGGGGTGTGTCAACTTATACATACATTTGCATGTAAAAAGGTGTATGTTCTTAGAAAGTACAACCTAACCCTTTATCTTGCTTGTTCTCTCTTGTTTCATTCATTCTAGTATTCTAACAACTACCCCCTGCAGGTCTAGATTGATCAGCAGATGAAATGTAATTTTTTGAAAGTGTGTAACACTTTCTAAAAATGTGTATTGTGAGAGTGTAGCGAGGGCCAACGCAGCAAAGGCAGCGACGAAGCGCTACTCACCCTCTTTTGCCTACAAAAGAGGGACGTGAGGCCATTCGGCCTCACCCACGTTCTTCATTTCTAGTTTCTCTAGTTCAATTTCCGCAGTTTCTCGTCCAACCTGGCGAAGACCCAGTCCCTCCCCCGAGGCAAGGCTCCGACGACGCTCCTCACCGACATTTTGCAGCACAACCTCGCTAACATGGCGTCGGCGAACACGACTCCGAATCGTCCGACGAACAACCCCAACAATTCCGTGGAGCCCGGAACTTCGGCCGGGGCAACCGCCCGTCGCCAGAAACGTCCTGCTGAGGAAATTTTTGGCGAGGGTCCCTCGGCTGTCGAGGTCCTGCTTGGCGCCAATCGCGCTGCTCCAGAAGAAACTCGCGCGGCTGCGAAGCAGCCGCGCGAGCTGCCAACGGAGGACCACGCGCCTGCGCACGTCGCGACGGCTGCAGGCCACGCAGGCCCACCGAGCACACGCCCTTTGACGAGGTCGTGCCAGCCGCCGCCGCCCCCGCGTTGACCGCACAACAGCTCCAGGCGCTTTTGGCGCTGTTACACCAGCAGCCGAATGTTACGCTCGGAACATCTTCGGACAATATAACTGCTACGACCAATTTCGCCAAGAAGAAAGAAATGCCGCCACCTACTCGTGCGCCGAAAGCTCCGCGCGTCGGCAACCAGCCCCCGGCACCGACTCCCGCACTCGCCAATGACACCGACGACAGCGACGACTCTGAAAACGATGATGGTGAGGCTCCTGCCAATATTGCTCGCCATCGCATTCTCGCCCCCGCCCCCCCTCTTCCCCCCCTTGGTCCCACGCCCACAGCAACTACCTTCATGCGTAAGGGCGTGCGCGACCAGGCCGAAGTCTTCACTGCTATCCAAGCGCACCTGCAGCACATCGACTTCGAGCTGCAGCACGGCAACGTCACTGGCGCACTCAACAACGTGAAACACATCGAGACGCTTATTAATAAGCGTTTCGAGGTGCTTCTCGTGGCGGATGAGGCCGGCTTTGAGGCTGCTGATCGCTTCCAGCTCTACCAGTCCAAGAGTGTGCTGACGTCCCGTTCCTACAAGCTGGCGGTCGCCGACGTGGCTGCACTCAAGCGCGCACGCGCCATCTATCCCCGTGGTGGTCGTCCCGGCGGTCGTGACGGAGAAATGGACCTCAAAGGCTCCCCCCCTCTCACGTGCCAGCAGCCACGCTTCAAGGGCGTGTGCTTCCGCTGTGGCCAGCCAGGTCACATGGCTAACGCATGCCCCATGGGCGGGCGTGGAGCACAAGGCCCCTCACCGGTGGTGTGAGCGGGGGTAAGGGCGGTGCCCTTCGCCAATATGCAAGAAGCATATTGGGCTGCACCGGGGGTGCGTGGCTGGTGGCCGGCCTTAGGACAAGGCAAATGGCCTAGTAGACTAGGGTAGCCCTAGGGGCAGAGAAGGCCGTGGGCCTAGAACCTTGTGTTATTCTTGTATGGGATCATGCACGCCGTTATGGCGCATTGAAACTAAGATTGCAAAAAAAAAAAAACTTTTGCAAGGCCTCGATGAAAGAGAGAAAGAGAGAGAGCGAGAGAAACAGAGAGAGAGCGAGAGAGTGAGAGAGAGAGAGAGAGAGAGAGAGAGAGAGAGAGAGAGAGGGAGAGAGAGAGAGAGAGAGAGAGAGAGAGAAGAGAGAGAGAGAGAGAGAGAGAGAGAGAGAGAGAGAGAGAGAGAGAGAGAGAGAGAGAGAGAGAGAGAGAGCATAAGATAAAGAAAGACCATAAGAGAAAGAGAGAGAGAGACAGAAAGAGAGAAAAAGAGAGAGAGAGAGTGAGAGAGAGAGAGAGAGAGAGAGAGAGAGAGAGAGAGAGAGAATGGATGAGAGAGAGAGAGAGAGAGAGAGCATAAGAGAAAGCAAAGGGAAAGAGCATAAGAGAAAGAGAGAGATAGAAAGAGAAAGAAAGAAAGTTTGTGTGTATGTGTGTGTGTGTGTGTGTGTGTGTGTGAGAGAGAGAGAGAGAGAGAGAGAGAGAGAGAGAGAGAGAGAGAGAGAGAGAGAGAGATCAGAGAGAGAGAGAGAGAGAGAGAGAGAGAGAGAGAGAGAGAGAGAGAGAGAGAGAAAGAGCGAGAGAGAGAGAGAGAGAGAGAGAGAGAGAGAGAGAGAGAGAGAGAGAGAGAGAGAGAGAGAGAGAGGTGACGAAGGCTCGAGCGCTGAAGGGAGAAGGCATGAATATCAGCCATGCCCTTTTTGCAATTGAACATGAGCCACTCTCGCTTTGCCAACTGAATGGGAGCTATGCCCCCCATGGAATTGACTATGACACATCCAACCTTTAGGCAATTTTCTGGTCTCACTCACTTGGGTACCTATGTGATTCTTGCCACCCGACCCTTTGGTCCAGCAGAAATCGGGAAAGGATGGTTACACAACGAACATGACCCCTACGAGTACGCGGTTACAGACAAGGACGTAACTGTCATGCATAGTCGATTGCGTCACGCCCTACACTGGTGGTGCTCATGGTGCGATAGGAGTTTCATCCTGTCCATCATCGCGAAAGGATATTGGCTTCCCTGGAAGCAAGGCGTGCCACATGCCATTGAGGATAGCAATCATGCTGGAGTTCACACACACCTGGACTTCACTCGTGGAGCGATTCGCGACCTCGTCACCTCGGGTGCCGCCGTCAAGGTCCCTACGAAGGACGCGCTCATGTGTGTCAGTCCACTTAACGTGGTGGAGCAGCGCGACAAGTGTCGCCTCATTCTTGACTTGCGCAAAGTCAACAACTACCTCGACATCCCCAAGTTCAAGTACGAAGGCTTGAACAGGGTAGCCGAACTCATCCGCCCAGGCGATTGGATGTTCTCCATCGACCTAAAGTCAGGCTACCACCATGTCGAGATCCACCCCTCCTGCTGGAAGTTCTTGGGATTTCAGTTCGAAGGAGACTACTATTCCTTCATATCACTCCCGTTCGGGCTTGCCACTGCCCCGTTCGTCTTCACACAACTGATCAAACAACTGGCAAAGCGATGGCGGGCAAGCGGCGTGCGGGTTGTTCCATATGTCGACGACTTACTATTCCTCTGCAACTCCCACTCGGATGCACGCTCGACCTGCGCAGCTCTTGTTCAGGACCTGAAGGCAGCAGGTTTTGTTATAAACGGCAAAAAGTCACATCTACACCCCTCGCGCCAGATAGCTTTCCTCGGCTTGGAGATTGTGTTAGGATTAAGGACGGAGTCTAGGTGAACTTAGGAGCTAGAATTACTCAAAATATAAATCCGAAATTCTGGACAGAAAAGTCGTCTTCACAAGAAACGACGTCGACAAACAACTAGCCGTTGGAATGTCGCGAAACTTGGATATGTTGTAGCTCTTAATCTCAGCTACCGTTCCCAATTTGAATCATGTTGATTGATAAAGTATTCGCGACGCTATGGCTTTCGACGCACTAGGGGGTAAGCTGTAGGAGGAGAACTTAACTCAATCTCAAAGGTTCAATCAAAGTTCAAGAATCTCACAAGGAATTAGAAGGAGCAAGAGAAAGGTTGGGATAGGAAGAGAGGGATGAGAGGGAAGGTCCCAAGAGAGTCCCCAACCAAGGAAAACCCCATAAGCACAAAGATTCCCTCCCTATAGGAACCCCAACTTTGACATTTGTCCCTTCCCAACCAATCCATCCAAGTTGGCCACCCTTGCCAACCTAGCTTGGTTGTTCCCAACCAATTTGCAGCTGTTACAGTAGAGTGACAAGTTTCCCCAACCCCAAAGGTCCCAACTCCATATAAAGTCACCCCACAACTTCACTTAGTAACCGCCGCAATTGTAACGCAAGCTCATGAACTTTGAATCTTCATAGCTTTCGCGTTCTTGCTCCGATTGAAGCGATTCTTGTTGCGTCGGAAAGATCTTCTCAAGATCTATTATCACAAATACCTGCTCAGACAGAATAACACAAAACACATTCCCAAACTCCAGAACACACCACACACAAATGCTTGCACATTCAAACCACACATGCAAGTTGAAAAAACATGGGATGGGAGGCAGACAGAATGTGATAGCATATGATGACATCACACAACAATCTCCCCCTCTGGCTGCCAACCATCATCGACCATACCACATCTCAAGCATGCATACTCAATGCACACTCATCCCAGCAAGCTTCATGCCCTTCCAATGATCCGCCTCCGCCAGACGCTTAGTGAAAATATCTGCTGCCTGCTGATGGGTCTTCACTATCTCCAGCCGCACCTCCTTATCAAGGAGTCTCCTCACCCAATGCCACTTAGGCCTTATGTGTTTTGTCAGCCCATGCAGACAAGCATTCTTGGCGAGCTTCACAGCGGACTCATTGTCACAAAACACAACTGTCGGCTTCTCCTGACCAACTCCCAACTCCTCCAACAAACGCCTCAGCCATACCACTTCCTTGGCCCCATGGTGTAAGGCCATGTACTCAGTCTCACATGAAGACAATCCCACCTCATTTTGCTTCTTGCTGCGCCAGCTCACAGCACCACCTCCTAGCAAGCACACATAACCCCCAATGCTGGTGCCATCCGCTTTCACTGAGTTGAAGCTAGCGTCAGTATAGCAACTCAAGAGCATCTCTCCACTCTTCACATCTGCAGCACCTCTCTGCAACCGCTGCCTCACTCCACTGTACTCCAATCCCACTGATGCCGTAGCACTCACATAGCGGACCAACCTCTTGGCCGCTTCCAGCTGCTCATGACTAGGGCGTGAGACCACACTAGCCAACCGTGATGTAGCAAATGCAATGTCAGGCCGTGTATGATTTGCAGCATAATTCAGCGACCCAACCATCGAATGAAACAGCTTCCTGTCACTATCACCCACTACCTCCTCATCAGCACATGGCTCCACAGTGAACCCCGAAGGTAGTGGTGTTGCTGGCTTTCCCCCATCTTGCAGCCCATACTTCTCAGCCAGCCCCTCACAGTACTTCCTCTGGTGCAACCTCAGCACACCCTTTTCCACATCTCTCTCCACGTGCATCCCCAAGTAGTACTTCACCTCACCCATCTTGGAGCACTTGAACTGCATCTCCAGCATCTGCTCTGCGCTGTCCAGCAAAGCAGTGGATGCAGAAAAGAGAAGGATATCATCCATATACACCAAGAGCATGAGGATTTCGTCCTTCTCCTGCAGCAGGAACAGGCTGGGGTCACACTCACTCTTCTTGAAACCCCCAGCCAACAGCGCCTCCTCCAACTTGTGATACCATGCACGAGGCGCCTGCTTAAGGCCATAGATGGCCTTCTTCAGCCTGCAGACCCTGCCGCTCCCGTCATCCAGCCCCTCTGGCTGCTTCATGTACACCTCCTCCATAATGATCCCATTCAGAAAGGCAGTCACAATATCCATCTGCCGAATCTTCCATCCCAGGAGTGCAGCTATCGCCAACAGCACCCTCAGTGTTGTTCCTTTCCCCACAGGAGCAAACACCTCATCATAGTCCTTCCCCTTTGTCTGCTGAAACCCCCGTGCCACAAGCCTGGACTTGTAGCGGGTCAGCTCCCCTTCAGGTCCATACTTGTGCCTGTAGATCATCTTGGAAGTGATTGCCTTCTTTCCAGGAGGCAAGTCACACAGGTCCCATGTCTCGTTCTCAATTAGGGACCCGAACTCCTCATCCTCACTCGCCTTCCACTTCTCCCCATTTGGTCCATTCAAGGCCTCCTCTCGAGTCTTGGGCTCAGGGATTGGTGCCCAGTAGCAGTGAGCGATCTCATCTTCCTCAATCTGCTCAACCACACTCCCAGCCTGCACCACATTTGGCTTGCCTCTTCCCCCATAGGTCAGCCTCACCGGAGGGCGCACATCCCTCCTAGGTCGCTCAGGCGGGTGTGGAACTCGAGATGGAGACTCATGCTGCTGCTGCTGCTGCTGCTCTACTTCAGCTGCTCCCCCTTCCTCAGTCACCCCAGACATCTCCTCCTCTGACACTGCAACCTCCACCTGTCTTGAAGGCTGCTGCACCTCATCTGCCTCCACAATGAGCGGTGTAGATGGAAGCTTCTGTTGCTGCTGCTTCCATTCCTTGTAGTACAGGGACTCAAGAAACTTCACATCCCTTGACAGTGTCAACTTCTGGGTGGTCAAGTCCCATAGCAGCCACCCCTTGTGATCCTTTGCAATCCCCAAGTGCACACCCCATCTTCCAGAAGCCTCCAACTTCCCCCTTTTCTCCTTAGGCACATGAAACACCACCATGCACCCAAATGCCCTCAGCATGTTCACAGCTGGAGCACTCCCATACCACTTGACATATGGGATCCACTCCTTATCTCCAACTGTAGCCAGCACCCTGTTCTTCACAAGGGCGACCTGCCTCAGTGCAGACACCCAAAACGGATCAGGCAGCCCTGCACGCCCAAGGAGAGTGCGTGCCCCCTCCTGCAGGGTCCTGTTGAACCTCTCAGCCACGCCATTCTGCTGCGGGTTGTAGGGCACTGTCAGTTGATGCTGGATCCCCTTCCTCTTCAACTCCCCCTCAAAATCAGCTCCAATGAACTCCCCACCATTGTCACTGCGGATCACCTTCACCTTGTATCCGCATTCCCTCTGAGCTCTAGGCATCCACTCCTTAAGGACAGCCGCTGCCACCTCCCCCTTGCTCTTCAAAGGGTAAACCCACACTGCCCGAGTGTGGTCATCCACAATTGTCAAGAAATAGCGGCTGCCTGAGAGGGAAGGGGCTCTTGTGGGCCCCACCACATCCATGTGCACAAGTGCAAGTGGGGTCTTGGCTGGTCCTGTAGTGCTGTTGAAGGGGAACTTGGAGAACTTGGTCTCCAAGCATGTAGGGCAGCTCCCAATCTCCTTCACTCCCCCTTTCACCTCCAAGCCCTTCAGGCTCCCATCCTTCACCAACTTCTGCAGCATAGGGAAGTTCACATGACACAGCCTCTCATGCCATGTCTCCCAATCGGCCTCTCCACTCCTTGGTGAAGCCTTAGCCCATGCCGCACTTGCATCCACACCAGCAAGCACCTCACCATGTGTCTGCTGCTGCTGCACTTTCTTGACTGCTTCCAGGACCCCATCAGTTGGTGCAGTTGCATCTCCTCCTGCTGTTGCCTTTGCCACTGCTGCCGTTGCTGCTGTTGGAGTCTTCCCATTCCAAGGGATGATGGGCAGCTGCCACAGGTCCTTGATGCAGCTGGTCTCCTCTTCCAGACTCCACAGCACCTTCTTCCCAAGCTTAGCACGGCAGCTGGTTGGTCCAAAGGTCACTTCGGCCTTGCTCTTCTGCAGTCGTCGCACAGAGAGAAGGTTAGCAGACAAGCCTTCAACCAGCAGAACATTCCCAAGCCCCACAAGCTCCCCATTAGCTCCCTTAACCTTGGCATTCCCAACACCAATCACGGGGAGCAAAGCACCTGACGCTGCTGCCACATACTTAATCTTCCCAGGGGGTTTTACCTCATCAAGCAAATCTGCCCGTGGAGTCATGTGACTGGTGCAACCCGAATCAATCACCCAGTGCGTGAGAGGGTGCATCACAACCTTTCCCACAGATCCCACATCACCCTCATGCCCATGCACATCCTCAACCATAACAAACAAACCAGGATAGGCATTACCTTGTGCACCTTCACCTTGTGCACCTGAGCCTTGCACAGCGCCACCTTGTGCGCGTTCACCACTGGGCGGCTTCATGCCTGGAGGTGCCCATCCCTCCAGCCTGCTGAAGCACTTGAACCAAGGATGCCCAACCTTCTTGCAGTACCAGCACGTGCCCTCCATTCTGGTACTCCCCCTGCCACTAGAGCTCCCATGCCCCTCATTATAGTCACCTCGGCCTCTACCTCTGCCAAAGCTCCTCCCACGGCCTCGGCCTTTCCAACCCCCTCTTCCTCTGCTGCGCCCTGCAGCTCCATACCCCTCAGCAGTCTTAGTGGCAGCACCGCCTCCCACATGGCGTCTGCGGAAGTCCTCCTGCAGAATCTGCTGCCTTAGCCACTCAGGTGTCCATTGATCTTGCTGAGAGTTGAGGGTGGGGATGAGGTTGTCCCAAGAGTTGTCCAACACCGAGATGATCTTGGTGCACTGCTGCAGCTGAGATACACTGCTGCCCGCTGCTGCCATCCTTGCATAGGTGTCCTTGATCTTGTCAAGGACCGGCTTCACATCGTCCCCTGGTCGCATGGAGATGGCAGCAAGTTCCTTCTCGAGCACGATCACCATCAGGAGAGTGTTGGGCTGAATCACATCGCGTAGTAGTTTCCACGCCCTTGGACCCGAATCATCCGCTTCCACAAGATCCTTGATGTGCTCGAACATCTCCTTGTTGACCGATTGAAGGATGAGGTCGAAAAGCACCGTGCTTTTCTCAATCCACCGTTCACGTGCTTCGCCTTCTTCCGGCATCTTCTCTTCCCCAACAGCAATCTTCAGTAGCTTGTAGCGTTTGAAGGCACTCCTCATCCGTCCGCTCCATTCCTCATAGTTGGAGCCATCCAAAGCTTCAACTTTTGATGGCGGCGGCTCACTTGTCTTCTCAGGTACAGCTCCTCTTCCATTAGCATCTCCTCCTCTCTCATTCATCTTCTCCTTGAGAAATGACGAATTTCAGCCCCCTTTGCTGTCCACACTCAGCTCCCTCGATATTTTCACAAGTGTCGGCGTCCACGAAATTTCGGCAGAGTTTCCCTTAGCGGAAGACACATCCAACCTTTAGAACACCACTTAGGCACACCCACAGGCCATGGTGGGTCTAGAAGGGTCTTCACACTTCTGTAGACTCCTCTCAACGTCCTTAATACAGCTCTGATACCACTTGTTAGGATTAAGGACGGAGTCTAGGTGAACTTAGGAGCTAGAATTACTCAAAATATAAATCCGAAATTCTGGACAGAAAAGTCGTCTTCACAAGAAACGACGTCGACAAACAACTAGCCGTTGGAATGTCGCGAAACTTGGATATGTTGTAGCTCTTAATCTCAGCTACCGTTCCCAATTTGAATCATGTTGATTGATAAAGTATTCGCGACGCTATGGCTTTCGACGCACTAGGGGGTAAGCTGTAGGAGGAGAACTTAACTCAATCTCAAAGGTTCAATCAAAGTTCAAGAATCTCACAAGGAATTAGAAGGAGCAAGAGAAAGGTTGGGATAGGAAGAGAGGGATGAGAGGGAAGGTCCCAAGAGAGTCCCCAACCAAGGAAAACCCCATAAGCACAAAGATTCCCTCCCTATAGGAACCCCAACTTTGACATTTGTCCCTTCCCAACCAATCCATCCAAGTTGGCCACCCTTGCCAACCTAGCTTGGTTGTTCCCAACCAATTTGCAGCTGTTACAGTAGAGTGACAAGTTTCCCCAACCCCAAAGGTCCCAACTCCATATAAAGTCACCCCACAACTTCACTTAGTAACCGCCGCAATTGTAACGCAAGCTCATGAACTTTGAATCTTCATAGCTTTCGCGTTCTTGCTCCGATTGAAGCGATTCTTGTTGCGTCGGAAAGATCTTCTCAAGATCTATTATCACAAATACCTGCTCAGACAGAATAACACAAAACACATTCCCAAACTCCAGAACACACCACACACAAATGCTTGCACATTCAAACCACACATGCAAGTTGAAAAAACATGGGATGGGAGGCAGACAGAATGTGATAGCATATGATGACATCACACAACAGATTGATGCCGCTCAAGGCACCTTCTCCGTCGGACTCGAACGTCGAGCACAACTTTTTGCTTCACTCCAAGCCCTCATCGCCCAGGGACAAGAGGGACGACCAGTTCCCATCCGGTCCCTTGCGAGAATCACAGGAATGCTGGCCTCCATGAATCTGGCATTGGGCGCTACGGCACGTGCCTTTAGTCACGAGCTCCTTCAACTTATTGCAGACGCCACCTCTTGGCACGCCAAGGCACACTTGTCGTCGACAGCAGTGCACGAGCTGCATTTTTGGCTTGCGCAATTCGACAAGTTCAACGGAAACCCATTCCATCTCAGTCACCAGTTCGATGCCGTCATCCACGTCGATGCAAGCGCACACAGCTGGGGCGCCACCCTGACACAACTTCCTGGGACGCCCATTGAAGCCAGTGCTCGCATGCCCGAGGAACTACTGCCCACCTCCAGCACTCGACGGGAACTCGAATGAGTTTTATGGGCTCTCCGAACTTTCGCTGCCCGCATACCCAAGCGACACGTGCTCGTTCGGGTAGACAATCAAGGCGTGGTATTCATCCTACGCAAAGGTGGATCGCGCCACCCCACGCTTACGCTACTATGTCAAGCAATCATTCGCCTCTGCCTGGAACACCAAACAAGGCTAGCTGTCGAATGGATCCCACGAGAGCTGAATGCGCACGCCGACGAACTTTCAAAAATCCAAGACCACGATGACTACTCCCTCAAAGCCCCGTGGTTCCGGCTCTTGGATCGCCGCCTGGGTCCCCACTCTATCGATCTCTTCGCAAATGTGCACAACGCTCAGCTGGAGAGGTTTTGTTCCAAGATTCCACACCCTACGGCCGCAGTGTTTGACGCTTTTTTGTTCAGCTGGCAGCACGAGCGCGGCTTTGCGTTTCCCCCTCCCAACCTCATTCCAGCCACATTACGACACGCTAAACGCACACACGCTGAGGTGACCTTGGTCATTCCCGAGTGGCCGGGAGCATCATGGTGGCCACTCCTCCAACAGGCACCTGACGCCTGGGTGCCAGAAGTAACGGCACACATTCCCCTCACCCACGGCAGCCAATGCCTACGCCCCGGCACACACGCACTCGCTTTCGCAGGACAAGGCTTTCCTCCTAGTAAGATGATTGCACTGCATGTCACGTATAAAAATCAATAATAATTGTACTGTACGCTGTACCTTTTCAGGCATTATAACGAAGCTGCAAACACAACTGCTACACGTAATCACCCATGTCCGTGCCCCTTCCACCATCCGAACGTATGAGCCCTACTGGCTCAAATTTCGCTCCTTCTGCATGAAGATGAAGTTGAGCTACCTGCCTGCAACGGATATGACCTTGGCACTCTACCTTATTCATGCACTAAATCACCAGGCCACCACATCTGCCATATCGCTTACATGCTCCGCCGTCGCCTTCGCGCATCGCATGACTGGCGAGCCCTCTCCCTCGACTGGACCATTTACACTACAAGTGCGCGAACTTGCCAAACGCCATGGCCCGCGCCCCACCCGGAACAAGGAACCGTTGTCGCTGCACTAAGTGCACACCATGGCCTGCCCCTTTCTGGAGTCCACCCGGCCGGCCGAATACCAAAAAGGACTCATCCCCATCCTTATGTTCGCCGCCTTCCTACGCTACTCCGACCTTGTCAGTCTCCAATGGCACGACATACAGTTTGAGCCTGAGGCGATGTGGCTGCTCATCCCGCACTCCAAGACCGACCAGGAAAGCAAGGGCACGTGGATTCCGGTCGCCGCCACTTCCGGCCCATACTGCCCGGTACGCTGCACACGACACTTTCTTCTCCTCGCGGGTCACACCTCCACCCCACACGGGCCATTGATCCGAGTCTTCGGGAACAGCAGTACGGCAACTCCACAGGACCACGCACCTTCGTACACCACCATCCGGAACTGGTGCCTTGAAGCATTCACCAGGGCCGGCCTCGATAGCGCCCACCTCGGCACCCACTCCTTTCGCAAGGGCGCTGCTACAGCGGCAGCCAGCCTGGGTGTTGGGCTGAGAAAAGCCCTTAGGATCTTTTGCAGAGACTAAGTCCCAGCTTGTAGAGACTTGAGACTTGGAGTAGTGCAGCGGAAGTTGAGACGGTTGAACCCTTGTACTAGTATGTGAGAACAAGTGATTGATTAAAGAAACAAGCATACAGCAATATATAGTAGATAAGAAAGCAGTTGTAGAATACAGTTACAGAAACGGTTTATCGAGTCGCACAGCGACTCGATTGCCGCTTCGGTTACCATCCGTGATGTTGTAACGGTCAGTCGCAACCTCCAGTTGCGACCTTTCGAGTCCTTTCGCATTCTTTGTCCGCCCCCTCGTGTAACCTCCGTTGACTCGCGTGCTCCCCTGTAGTCTTCCTCGAGTACAGTGTTACACTTCAGAAACGCTTAAGTCCTTGAGATATTTCCAACACTCCCCTTCGTTTCTGGAGTGCTGGAGTGTTCAGATCTGGTGGC